CAGAGGGAGAAGCAGACTTCCTGCCCAGCAGGGAGCCTGATGCGGGACTCCATCCAGGGACTCCAGGATCATGACCCGAGCCGAAGGCAGTCGCTTAACCAACTGAGCCACCCAGGCGCCCCCATAACCTTTTTCTTTTACCATTCTGTGGGTCAGGAATTTGAGCAAGGGACAGCAGGATCAGTACATATCTGCTCCACGATGAACCGGGGCCCAAATGGGCTGGCTGGAACAGCTGGAGGTGGGTGCGATGGTTCATATGGGGCCACTTAATCTGAAACCTTGGCTCTGGCTGCTGGCTGGGGTTGTGGATTGAACTGTGTCTCCCCCCGCTCCCCGCCACCCCATACATTGAAGTTCTAACCCTTAGGACCTATGAATGTGACCTTATTTGGAAATAGGGTCTTTGCAGATAGGATTAAGATGAGGTCACACTGGATTAGGGTAGGTCCCTAAATCCAATGAGTGGTGTCCTGGTAAGGAGAGGGAGAGATTTGGAGCCGCCCAGCCACATTGACTGAGAAGGCCACGTGAGGACAGAGGCAGAGATTGGAGTAGCGTGGCTGCAAGCCCAGAAACACCAAGGATTGTCAGCAACCCCCAGGAGCCAGGACGAGGCCAGGAAGGATCCTTCCCCAGCGACTTTAGAAAGAGCACGGCACTGCCAACACCTTGATTTCAGACTTCTAGCATCCAGAACTCTGAGAGCATACATTTCTGTTGCTGGAAGCCACCCAGTTTGAAAGTTGGTTACTACAGCAGTCCTGGGAAACAAAAACAGCTGGGCTTCCCGACCCTCCTGCATGCTACATCTGCTGGGGTTGCGACGTCTAGGGCCCCTCCTTCGCCCACTTGTCTGGTGTCTGGGCTGAGATGGCTGAGACATCTGGGGCTCTCTCCCCACATGGCGTCCATGCAAGAAATAGTGTGGGCGTCCCCAGAGCACAGCAGCCTCAGCACAGGAAGCTTTTGACATGGCAGCTGGCTTCTCCAGAGCCAGTTTCTTGAAGCCCAGAATGTGGCACGGTCAAAGCAGTCCCAGAGCCACGCACGTTCAAAGAGATGGAGATACTGAGGCCACCTCTTTAAGCCACCACAGTGACGCTCAGTGCTATGTGATTTGAGGAGGTCCTAAAAAGAAACCCGTCCCTTCCCTGCCCTCAAATACCATGGAAGATGTCTTATCTTTTCTTCATTAGCCATAGGGTCCTGGGGAACGTAATTTTGTCTCTTTGGGCTTGCCTCAGCAAATCATAGGAAACGTGAATTCTTCAATATTGTGCCCCAAGGGTGCCAATTGAAATGAGAGTTCTTTTTCTCAGTCAGTCTGAAGGCATCCTAGGAAAAAGAGCCCAGCTTTTATCTCTTGCCACCGGGGCATCTGGGGAAATGTAGTCCTGTCCTGATTCCTCACTGCAGGGCCCCCAGGGAGTTCTGGCCATCAGATTATCCCTCCCATTCATCTCCGGTCTCAGAACCCCCTAGGAAATGCAGATGCCTCTCCTTAGAACAACAAAGTAGTCTTGACCTTTGGAGCTTGGGAGAAGAGACTGGAAAGTTTGTGCTTGAGTGAGTGAGTTGGAGCCCAGAAATTGATGTGGAGGTGGCTTAGGATGGAAGCCCATGGAGAACTGCTCCCAAGGCTGGGGCCCCAGATGCCTGGGTCCTACAATGTGACCCCCAATTCCAGGAGGTGGGTGAAAGGTGCCCCCCCGCCCATTCATCCTCCCAAAGAGAGATGCTACGGAGAAGGGAAGATCAGGCCTTGTTCGCTGGTACAAAAATCTTTAAGTATAAAATATTAAATAAAACAAATATTAATTAATAATAACAACAATGGTACAACAATGCTAACATAACAAGACCTCTCCTGCTGGCCTGCAGTCTTTCTCCAGCTTTTCTCCCCTGGTTCTGCAACTTCGTGAGACAGCTGGGAAAACTGAGACCCAGAGAGGGCAGCACACTGGCCTGAGGTCACACAGCAAGTCTGCAGGGCTGGGAGCTGAGGGGAGGGCAAAGGGCTCCTCTGGATCCAGCCAGGGAAGGGGGAGTGTAGGGGGTCAGGTCCAGAGGAGAGTGCCTCCCCACAGTCTGGCAGTTATAAGCAGGGTGGCCATGAGGCTGAGGTGGGCAGGACCAGGCCGGGGGGCGCCGCCCATGTGGGGCTGGTGATCCAGGACTGGGTGGTTACAGCCGTTTCCAGTACAGCATGAGACGTTGAGATGGGTCAGGCTGAAGGCTTCAGCCACGTGGAGACTCTGGCACCATGAGGAAGTTGCACAACCTCGTACTGTGTAGCTCGGGTTGCCCAGCCCTGAGGAGAGAGAAGACTGCGTGAGACTCCCAGCTCCTGGGGCTGGGCCTGCAGTGCTCACCGGGTGACCTGCCACCTTCTGGCGGATCCCACTTGAAGAAAGCAGCAGTTTCAAGTGTGGTCCCTCAGACCCTTCTGGGGGAACCGAGAAGTCAAAACTATTCTCATAATAATGCTAAAGCATCATTCGACTTTTCCACTCTTGTGAGTGTACAGTGGGGGTTTTCCAGAAACCCTGAGACATGTGATCTTGCAGACGACTGAACGCAGAAGCCCATATGAGGATGAGGATCCAGCCATCTTCTATTAAGCCAGACATGAAAGAGATTTGCGAAATGGTAGAACAACAGCAGTCTTCTTGTTAAATGTTTTCATTATGGAAAATGTCACTTTTTTTTAAGTAAAAAATGTTATGTTCACATGGAATGAGGTTTTATTTTGTATTTTTCTTTTAAATTAATTTATTTTAAAATAAATTAATAGGGGCACCAGGGTGGCTCAGTCAGTTAAGCGTCCAACTCTTGGTTATGACCTCAGGGTCATGAGATCAAGCCCCGATGCGGGCTCCATGCTGGGCATGAAGCCTGCTTAAGATTCTCTCTCTCCCTCTCCCTCTGCCCTCTCCCCATCCCCCACTTGCGGGCTCTCTCTCTAAAAAAATAAGTAATAAATAAATTAATAATTTGCATCTCTTAAAATATCTCAGTTTTCATCCTAATGCAGTAAATATCTATAGATATATCTGCCATAAGTAATAATTTTTAAGAGCACGAAGGAATTTTGAGATGAAAAGGTTTGAGAACCGCTGGAACAGAGACCTGCCCAGGATGGCACAGGATGGGAGCCCGCCACGCCCGCAGGAAGTCCCACCCCCTCGTGGGAAGTCCCACCCCCTCGTGGGAAGTCCCACCCCCAGAGAGGTCCACATTTCTGTGGCGGGAACGCTCATTTCTTAATGAAGTCCTCATTCCTGACGACACTTTGCACCCTCCTGAAGGAAGCCCTACATTTTCCACAGGAAGACCCAGCTCCCTGAAGTCGACCTGTGGCCCACAAGCCCCCACCCACAAGTATACTCTCCCAGCCTCCTGGAAGGGCTCACCATTAGTTCCCGTGGCTTTCAGACATTGATTCATGGGGCCTTGGCAGGCGGTCAGGGCAATCTCTTCGGAGGAACATCCATGGGTGCTGTTCCCCTCACAGCTGTAACACTGGAGGCCATTCAGAGGCAGGTTTTGAAGCTCCAGGACTTGGGAGAAGACAAGTGACACAGAAACCAAGGAAATTAGTATGGGGGTGCGGGCAGGTGGGGTGAGGGGTGTCCTTCCTTGCATTACCTCCCCTAGAACGGTCAACTCGCAGCCTGAGATGTCATGGAGCCACCTAGTGGTCAGGCATTGGAACAGCAGTCTTCAGAGGGGGAGGGCTTTTTTTTTTTTTTTTTTTAAAGATTTTATTTATTTGAGATAGAGCGGGAGAGAGAGCACGAGCATGAGCGGGGGGAGGGGCAGAAGGAGAGGAAGCAGACTCCCCGCTGAGCTGGGAGCCAGATGTGAGACTAAATCCCAGGACCCTGAGATCATGACCTGAGCCAAAGGCGGACGCTTAACTGAGCCACCCAGGCGCCCCTTCTGGGGGGTTCTTTATAGAACCTGTGAGAGAAATCCCACCTCGCCGCTCCTCCTGAGCCCCTATCTGACCAGGCACTGCGCGAGCAGCTGTGGAAGACGAAACAGTCCCTGCCCTACAGCACTTACCACTCAGACCTACACTGTCCAATATGGTAGCCACCAGCCACGTGTGGTTGTTTACATTTACACGGAAATGAATTCGTATTAACTAAAATTCAAGGTTCAGTTTCACATTTCAAGTGCTCAACAGCCATATGAGTTAGTGGCTACCATATTGGACAGTACAGATATGGAACATTTCTATCACCGTGGAAAGTTCTGTTGGTCGGTACTGGTTTATGGAGACAGAATAACACCAAGGAGTGAGATTATAGTGGAGGGGAGGGACAGAGAATGTTTCCCTGAGGACAATACTTTAAGCTGAGACCTAACAAATGAGAAGTAGCCAGCCCGGTAAACTCTTGGGGGAGATGTGTTCCTGGTGGAGGGTACTGAATGCGCAAAGGCCCTGAGGCAGGAGAGAGTTTGGCAGTTGCAGGAACTCAATGTAGACCATGAGGCAGACAGGTGCTGGATTACAGAGGGCATAGGATGGTCTTTAGATTTTACTCTGAGAGCAAAGAAGAGTTGCTGCAGTGCCTGAGGAAGGAGAGTGACATGCTCTGGTTTACATTTTTAAGAAATCACCCTTGCTGCTGTGTTGAGCATCGGCTGTAGGCGGCAGAAGCGGAAGCAGGGGGACCAGTGAGAAGGTCATCGCAACAATCTAGGCAAGAGCTCCCGGTGGCATGGACCAGGGCGGTGAGCTGCGGAAGGATTCAAGGAAGTATAAAGCAGGGGTCTTTGGAAAAGGTTTGATGGGCCTGATGAATTTCCACACAAGCCTTCTTTGAGGAGGGGCTTTCAGGGGAGATGGACACCTAGAGAGGAGGGGTGGCCTGCGAGTGAGGGGCAGCAGCCCGGGTACACCTCCCTGCCCCGACCCCGGCCTCATGCTGCGTGGGTCCCCTGCCCCCTCACCTGGGCCTCCATTGCATTTGGTGGTGTTGCAGCACCGCAGGAAGTGGAAGGTGTGGTTGTTGTGGAAGCCGGTGGGGCCTGGGCAGCCCGGAAGGTTGCCACAGCCGCGGGTGTGGTGCTCATCCCTTGGACTGCCTGTCGGGGGCAGAAGAGAGAGGTCAGATTGTTCAGGGGCTGAGACTGGCCTTGCCCACCACCGCAGCAGTCATCTGTCCATTTCCTGCCTCACTGTTCATTATAGGACCCTCATTTTATTTGGGGCAGCCACATATCTAGGCAAAACCACATTTTCCAGCTTCCATAGGTATAATCATGTGGCTAAGTTCTGGTCAATGTGATGTAAATAGAATGGTTTTATGGGACTTCCAGAAAGGAGAACCCCCACAAAAGGAGGGGTGCCTATTTTTTGTTCCTTTTCTTCTTTCTCCTTCCTGGAACTTGGACATGAGGTTTGGAGCTCTGGCAGCCATGTTGGACTATGAGGCAATTGTGAGAATGGAAACAATATTCAAGAAATGAGAAAGCATCTGGGTTCCTGGTGATGGTAGAACTGTCCTAGTGGCTCAGGACTTCCTATCACTAGACTTTTTTGTGTGTGAGAGAACTAACCTTCTACCTTGCTTAAATCCTTGTTATGCTGGGGTCCTTGTTAAGGGCAGCCTTGGGGAAGAGCAATGCAGGGGGGAGATGCTGCTGGCAGGTTGGAGCTCACCTTCCAGGCTCTGGTAGGTCACCACTTCCACGCACTGTTCTGTAGGGCTGCGGCATTGCAGGCTCTGGTCCCAGCCCCTCTCACAGCTCAGATCTGATGAGGCGCAGGAAACACATTCGAGGTAACGGCTTCGGATTCGGGGAAAGGTGGAAGTCCGACCTGTTCGGGGAGGGGCAGGAGGGTGAGACTCCATGGAGAGAGTTCCGGAAATCTAGCTCCTTTGAAGACTCAACTTAGCATCAATTCCTCCTTCAACCAATCATCAAAGCCCTGCCCATCCCACCTCCTGAATCTTTCTAGCATCCATCCCCTCCTTTCCAGCCCCATGACCAGGTCAGAACTTCTTCAAATACCTGGCCTCCTGGTTTCCATCCTTGCCCCCCAACCCCACCCAGTGCAGCCCCACATGGCCCTAGAAGGATGTTTCTAATACTCAAATGTGACCCTGCCTGCTCTGCTCAAAACCTCTCCATGGCTCCCCAGTGCCCTCAGAATAATATCCAAGCTACTCCGTGTGGACCTCTGGGTCCCGGCCACCTCTCCTGTCTCATCTCCCTCCACTAGCCCCTCAAACTCTACTCCCCATGACTTCCCACAGTTCCTGAACGTACATGCTGACTGGCATCCATGCTGACTGGCATCCAGCCCTTGCCTAGAACACGCTCCCTCGGCTCCTTACTTTCCCTGTCTCCTCCTACTCATTCTTCAGGCATCATCTCAAATTTCACATCCTCTAAGAAGTCCTCCCTGACCTCGGAGGCTGCATCAATGTGCCCCCCTGGGCTCCCCAATCCCAGCTACATCCACTTTGGGTCATCCCCGTCTGACTGGACTCTGAGCCCCAGGAGGTGGGGCCAGGGCTGTCCTAATCATTACTGTGTCCCAACACCACCCAGCACAGGGCCAGAGCCAGAGAAGACATCCAGTAAATATTTGTTAAATGAATGAATGAAGAATTGCTTAAAACCCTGCTATTGTTCTCTGTGGTAGCCAACCTCCGAGACGGCCCCCAGTGCCCCCTGTTTCCTGGTACGCACACACAAAGAATAGGGCTGACCCGTGTAACTAATGGGATATTGCGGAAATGATGGTGTATGATTCCTGCGCTAGATCATAAAAGGCATCGCAACTTCTTCCTGGCTCTCTCTTGGATTACTTGGTCTGGAGGAAGTCCATCTGTCATGCAGTTAGAACACTCAGACACCCCATGGTGAGGTCTACGTGGCGAGGAACTGAGGCCTTTGTCCAAGCCACGGGAGGGGACCAGCCACGTGAGTAAATCTCCCTTGGGAGCCTTGGGATGATGGCAGCTCTGCTGTCATCTTGACCACAACCTCATGAAAGATCCAGAACCATCCTACTTAAGCCACTTCCAGATTCTTCAGAATCTGACCTTCAGAAACTTTGTGAAATAATACCTGCTCATTTTTGTTTTAAGTTTTGGGACAATCTGTACTGAGGCGATAGATAATTAATGCACTACCCGATTGGGTCAGGGATCCAAGCCTCGCTTGATTGATTGATCTGTGATAAGCCTCTCACACCTGCTGGTCCAGGCCAAGGGGGTGAATTATTTTTCCCTGGAAACACTAGAGTCATTCCTCCGGCCAGGCCTTGGCTCACACCATGCTGAAGCCTGGTATGCCTTCCCCTTCCTGATCCCAAATATCCAAGTTGAGTTGGGGCCAAGTCCTACATAAGGGAGAGGGCTGTCTCAGCCACTCTCTCAACCGGCAGGCCAGCTGCTGGAATTAGGTGAATCACTTACATCCAAGGCCAAATCTTCCCCAACCCTAAAGAAAAAATCATTAAAATGCCAACAACCCATGTCTTCTCACATGAACTTCCATGAAAATGAAAACACGGATTGCCATCACCGCCATCATACCACCCTCAGGTCCCCTCATAAACTCTTGTTCTTATGTCGCTCTTCTAAATGTGGGTCATCCTCAGGGTTCTGTCTTAGGCCCTTTTCATTTCTCACAGTGCACACTCTCTCCCATGGGGATGTTATCCATTGACCTGGCTTCATTTCCACGCATCTGCTGGGAACTTCTCTCTGAGCTCCACACCTGTACACCCAACTGCCTCCTGGAGAGGCCGTCTTGCTATCCCTCAAACACCTGAATCTCTACATGCCCCAAAGGAAGCTCTCCATCTTCTCTAAACTTCTTTATCTCCTGAATTCCATATCTCTGCGGTGGTCCCATTCAGTACCCCAGGGCAGAAACCTGGCAGGTTCCTTGATCCTCCACATTTAGGCACCAATCTGGAGACGTCTCCTGCCCTGTCTTCTAGTTCTTTAATCCTTTTGCCCCACTGCTTCTGGGCTCTATTAAGCACATCTATTGAGTTCTTAATTTCAGTCACTATTCTGTGTTTCCTGTTTGACTTTTTTTTTTTAAGATTTTATTTATTTATTCATGAGAGAGAGAGAGAGAAAGAGAGGGGGAGGCAGAGGGAGAAGCAGGCTCCCCAAGGGGCAGGAAGCCCGATGCGGGACTCGATCCCAGGACCCTGGAATCATGACCTGAGCCGAAGGCAGACGCTTAACCATCTGAGCCACCCAGGCGCCCCTCCTGTTTGACTCTTTTAAAAAAATGGACTCCTGGGGCGCCTGGGTGGCTCAGATGGTTAAGCGTCTGCCTTCGGCTCAGGTCATGATTCCAGGGTCCTGGGATCGAGTCCTGCATCAGGCGCCCTGCTAGGTGGGGAGCCTACTTCTCCCTCTGCCTCTCTCTCTCTCTGACTCTCATGAATAAATAAATAAAACATTTAAAAAAATTTTTAGAATTAAAAAATAGACTCTACATTTCTGTTAAAGTTTATCCTCTCCTCTATTTTTTTGGACTATATATATATATTTAAAGATTTTATTTATTTA